TTTGCTATTTGTACTCTTTATCAATGACGTTAGTACATGTTTTTCTTCGGCAAAGTACCTCCTATATGCTGATGACTTAAAAATTTATTCGACAACAAAATGTAGACATGACGCTTTGGCTCTTCAGTCTGGTCTAGACAAACTTAAACTGTGGTGTGAGAGAAACTGTCTATCCTTAAATGTAAGGAAGTGTTTTCACATGACTTTTTCCAAACGGTTTATAATATCTCGAAACTCGTATAACATTGCCGGCATTGAATTGAGAACAGTGGAGCAAATTAAAGACTTGGGGATTTATTTCGATGTCAAACTCACTTTTTGCACTCATATTAACTACACAGTTTCAAAATCGTATGCTATGGTTGCTTTTATTTGTCGTACTTGTTCTTGTTTTTCTGATCCGTATACATTTAAAACCCTCTACACTGCTTATGTTCGATCACGGCTAGAATAGGCCACTTTTATATGGAGACCTTACCATGCTACACATATTAATCGACTAGAACTTATTCAGAAATCCTTTATACGTTTTGCACTTTCTTCTTTAAAATTCACGGAACCAGTTCCATCCTATAGCTCACGGTGCATGCTCATAGACTTGTCATCCTTGAATAACAGAAGGGCATTTTTGTCTTGCCCTTTTGTGACTAGTGTTATAGGTGGGTTTGTTGACTGCCCTGCACTTCTGAGTAGGATAAATTTTAATGTTCCGGCGCGAAGTAATTATAGTTTAGCCTTGCTAGTCAGTAAGAATTTTGTATTCATTGGCTAATGAATAAATAAATAAAAGCGTTGGTGGTGAGATCAGAGCACAGCTCCAGGTGGACCGCCTCTGTCGTAAAGCATACAAAGACGACGGCGTAGCCCTTCACTAAAGTATGTGATCTTAGCATTGAGGCCTTTATTTGAAGAGCCCCGCAAAATCCACACCGGTGACCGTAAAGGTCGGAGAAAAGGTGCACCGCTCAGATGGCAAAGCTGCCATTATTTGGGAGTGCATTTGCTGTTTGTGGACCGTGCAGGGTTTGCATTGAAAGATGCATTTCTTCATGAGCGGCTTGGGCCGGGGGATATAGAATTCCTGTCTGGTGACCTGTTGCATCAGACGTATTTCTGCGTGGAGAAGCAACTCGAGCAAGAAGCGTAGATAGAGGGTGGCGAATCGGGATTTCTCGGGAATGATTATTTGATGTCGCTCATTGTAGCTTAAGGTGGCGTGAGCTAATCGACCGTTGACATAGAGTAGGTTGTGCTCGTCGACGGATGGATTGAGGATAAGCAAAGGACTCCGCTTTTTCATTGGTTTTGAATTTTCTAAGCAGGCCCTTTCGCGAGGAAAATGTTGAGTCTGTGTCAAAGCTTTAAGCCGGTATTTCGTACTACGGAGTTCATCGTGGGTGAGGGACAAAAGGTGAACAGTATGAACTCCTTCTACTCGACGGTTCAGGGTGTTTATAAGTCAGAAGGCATACGCCATTACCCTGAGGGCGCGCGGAAATGAGGAGAACCGGTCTAGAATGTCAGGCTCTTCTTCAGCGGCATGGAGTGCCTCCACTCGTCGAGATTCTGGGGCGTTAAAACTCGCGTTTAAGATTTTGGCCAGGCTTCGGTGGGGCTTGTCACCCATTCCGGACCATTCCACTCGAGGGAGGAAGCTGCTAAATCTAGGGGTTTGCATCCTCTGGTTCCCATATCAGTTGGATTGTCTTTGCTGCGCACGTGTCGCCAGGTGGAGTTTCCAACTATTTCGATGATTTGTGCAGTGTGGATTTCAAATGTTTTCCGCGAATGGGGTGGTTTTTCTAGCCATGCTATAATGATTTCGGAATCTGACCACAGGATAAGCCTTTTTGTGGAGAGGCGAATATGGGTTTGGACGGCCGCGACGAGTTTGGCTAGTAGGAGAGCTCCACACAATTCGAGACGTGGTAGGCTGATGGTTCGTAGGGGTGCCAACTTGCTCTTGGCTACCAAGAGACGAGAGGTTATTTGGGTGTCATGGGTACTACGAACGTATATGATGGCGCAATATGCCTTTTCCGAGGCGTCGCAGAAGCCGTTGAGTTCAACATGACTATCGGGGATATAATTTACCCATCGATATATTTGGATGTTTGAGATGAAATGTAAATTACTGGCAAACTGTGTCCATTTTGTCAGACGGAGGGGTTTGACCTGCTCGTCCCATTGAGTCCCGTCAAGCCATAGCTCTTATAAGAGAATCTTGGCTTGCATCAATATCGGCGTGAGCCATCCTGCGGGGTCGAAAAGTTTCGCCAAAGATGAGAGGATTTGCCGTTTTGTGTTCGCAGATGATGCTGGAATGGGATCAACTGTATAAGCGAAGGAGTCAGTGAGGGCATTCTACTAAATCCGTAGAGTCTTCGTAGTGCTTGCCTTTTCAAACTCGAGGAAGTTGGTATAAAGCAAATCTTCCTTACTTATGTCTTTCAGAATATCAGCATGGTTATCAGTGATTTTTTTTCAAGGGAAAACCGGCTGATTTTAAACCTTGGATGACTTGGGTAAGAGCCTGTGTAGCAGTGAGCAGGTCATAACTTCCAGATAGGATGTCATCCACATAGGTTTCTTTGGTTAATATGGGCGCAGCCAAGGGTGGGTAATTTTTACGTCTTGTGGTAATTGGTGGAGAGTACGTATGGCTAGATATGGAGCATAATTAACGCCGAACGTGACGGTTTTCAGTTTATAGTCTTGTATTGGACTTCCTGTGGATGAACGAAAGGTATGTCTGTGAAAGTCTTGGTCTTCTTCGTGTAAGAGAATTTGGCGATACATTTTCTCCATATCACCATTGAAGACATATTGGTAAGTGCGCCATTTGAGAACTAGTAGCATCAAATCGGGTTGTAGGGTCGCCCAATTTCTTTGATGCATTGAAGACAACTCTTACTTTCGTGGTTCTTTTTTCAGGCTTTATAACTGCATGTTGGGGAAGATAAAGGAGAAGTATTTTCCCTGTGAGGTTATCTCATGCGAACTCGACGGTTCCATATGATTGATATTCCTCAAAACACTGTCATAAAGATGTTTTAGATCGCCTTTCTTGAGAAGATTCTTCTCCATACTGAGGAATTGCTGCAAGGCTGCGGTGCGAGAATGTCCTAAGGCGATTTTGTCAGGAAAGCTTGACATAAATGGGAACCGGACTATATAACGTCCTTCAGTGGTGCGGGTCGTTGTTGATTTATAAAAATCTTCACATATCTCGTCTTCCGGGGGGATGTCTTCATATTTTGGAACTTCTTCTAAGCCCTAAAATTTTTTGAGTTGCATATTCAAATGCTCATTTGTGGCTTCTTCTACCTGAGAAGAGAAAGTTGCAACTCTTTCTGGGATCTGGCCGCTCAATATCCAACCGAATATGGTCTTCTGGGCAAATAAGTTGCGAGAGATTCTTTCAAGACCATCAAGCATAATTTGAGGAAGCTGTTTTTGGCGATTCGTGGCCGGACACCAAATAAGAACATCCACAATCTTCGTTGGCATGTAATAATGTGTGGAATGTTTTATTTCCTTTAGAAAAATTGAAATTAGTTACATTAATACAATTTACAAAATTCTACTTACACTTTTGTGTGATTCCTCCGATATGCCAGCCACGAATGCCGCTATTTTCTCTGCACATAATGGCTGTCATATCGTTTACACAGATTGGCATGGCGTTGCCACTAACACAAAATTTTACATACAATTTACGATACAATTAGGATTGCCATCTTACAAAAATACAATTATGTTTTATTAACTCCTAAGCCGCGCCAACATGCCCGCCTCCGTGGATCTAACCAGGTCCACCAACATCTAACCTGGCCAGTATGCATGCTGGCGTTTGTATACGCCGTCCCGTGTTTTCACTCGCGCGGCTCTTACTTGTCCATCGACGCCTGGGAACACTTGGACAATCCGCCCTGTCGGCCACTTCGATCGATGCATGTTTCCGTCGCAGAGCAGGACGATATCATCTACGGCTAGTGGCTTCTGTACACCGTACCATTTTGTTCGCCTCGTCAAGTCGGGCAAGTACTCGTCTATCCACTTTCTCCAGAATCTGTGCTGCATCTGTTGAACTTTGTACCACTGCTTTCTGGTCGGGATCATCTTTTCTTGGTCCGGATGTGGGGTTTGTTCGGAGTTTGGAGCACCTAGGAGAAAATGGTTAGGGGTTCGCGGTTCGTCAGTGTATTCGTCTAGTGGAATGTGCGTCAACGGTCGTGCGTTAACTATGTTTTCTGCTTCGCACATGAGGCTGTACAAACAGTGCTCTTGAAGGGTTTCGTCGTTCAGCGCATGTCCCATAGCACGTTTCACGCTACGGACAAGTCGCTCCCAGCAGCCACCAGCATGGGGATTCAGGGGGCAATTGAAACCCCATTCGATGTGTTTATTTGCCAGTGCATTAGTATTTTGCCATTCTCGAAATCAATCCTCAGGCGTCTCAACTCTTTGTTAGCTCCGATGAAGTTTGTGCCATTGTCGGAGCGGATGCGCACTGGTGTTCCTCGGCGGTTCATAAAGTTGCGTATGCACATGAGACAGGTATCCGTTGACAAATCCTTGGCGAGTTCTAAATGTACTGCGCGGATCGTAAGGCAAGTAAATAGCGCGATCCAACGCTTCTCGCTTCTTCTGCCAATCGCGACTGTAAACGGACCCATGTAGTCCAGACCGACGTATGTAAATGGCCTTACGAAGTGTGTAAGTCTATCTACCGGAAGTTGGCCCATTTGTGGAGGATTCGGCTTGGCTCTTTCCCTTACGCAAACTTGAGATCTTCCCGCAGCACGCCGCACCTCTGCTCTGAGTTGTGGAATCCAATATCGCCGCCGTATCTCCGCGATTATCGTGCCTTCATTTTGATGTTTCCAGATTTTGTGATAGTAATCTACCACGAGCTCGGTGACGTGATGGAGTTTAGGCAGTATTATCGTCCGACGTGAATGTGGGGGGATAGCTGTTGCAGCATCTATTCGTCCCGCCATCAGCGCGTAATATTCCTCAGCAAAGCTCTCCTGTTGTACTGCACGAATTATCGCAAATTCAGCTCTTCTTACTTCCGTAGCGCTTAGTCCTCCGTAGATTCTTTGCTTACGTCTTTCCTACAGTTGTTTCGGAATCGCAGAATCCAACCTACTACTCTGGTCATGAGGATCAGCGTCGAGAATTTCTTAAACATGAAAATGCTTATCTTAACTGTCAAAACTGAGAATTTTGCGCGAGGTTCCTCGTGCTTATTCGGACTCACCGCGTCCGGCGGCCACAGGTGTTCGTCTTGTGGTAGGAACTTCGGCCCACCGATCCAGGACGAATTTCTTTTGTCTGCCCTCGGACGGGTTCCCCAATCAGCCGGATTCAAGGCGCCTGGAAACCATCGCCACTTATTAACGTTGCTAGCCTCCAAGATCTCGTTCACGCGATGAGCCACGTATGGTTTATAGCACCGGTGATCAGATTTTACCCAAGCTAGCACTGTTTTGGAGTCACTCCACATCACCACTCTCTTAGAGAACTTGTCGTGACATTGAAGGATGCTCTTGCGAAGTCGCTTAGCCAACACTGCAGCCTGCAGCTCGAGGCGGGGAATAGATGTAAGCTTTAATGGTGCGCATTTTGTCTTTCCTGAGATGAATATGGGATTGGTAGTACTTGCTCCCTCTGGTGACCTCCAGTATGCTACTGCTGCATAAACTACTTCGCTCGCGTCGGAAAATATGTGTAGTTCAACTGTTACTGCTTGAAGTGTAATCCGTAGCCCCGCGGCACGCTTATTTCTTCCAAACGCTTGATCGCTTTCAACCATCTTAGCCATGCTTCATGCAATTCTTCCGAGATATATTCATCCCAGGCGGTACTCGCACGCCAAGTTGACTGTAAGAGGAGCTTCGCTTCCATAGTGTACTCCGCCGCCATTCCAAACGGATCAAACACCGACATGGTGACGCTCAATACTTCTCACTTAGTTGGTCTCCGCTGGCCAGCAAGCACTACTGGATCCACCTTCGCAAACGACAGCACAAGTCTGAAAACATCATTAATCGTATCCCACTGTAACCCGAGGACTTTCTGAAAAATACCAGCATTATCTCTATCGAGCTTTAAGTACGACGGACGTTCTTCTTTATTATTCATTCTTTTAGTTAGCTGTTCAGAGTTTGATACAAAACGCTTTAATTCAAAACCTCCCTGTTTATGAACCCACACTACCTGCTCAGTTATTTGGATTGCCTCGTCTACGGTGGAGAAACAGTGGACAAAATCGTCGACGTAGTGGTTGTTGACTATGGTCTCCACCGCTTCAGGAAACCGTACTCTAAACTCCTCTGCGTTTTTGTTCTTAAAGAACTGTGCCGAGCTTGGTGAGCAAGTGACTGCAAATGTCATCGCGCTCATAGTGTAGACTTCGATGGGATGTTCAGGGTCTGTGCTCCATAAGAAGCGTTGTACTGCTTGATCCTCGGCGCGTATCTTCACTTGGTGGAATATTTCCACTATGTCCGCACATACACCTACTTGCCTCTGCGGGAATTTCATTAGGATGGTTGCTAAAGGTTGGTTTAAGTCTGGTCCTCTAAGCAAAGTCGAGTTCAGCGGTACATTGTTAACTTCCGCAGCAGCGTCAAAGACAAGTCTCATCTTTCCAGGTTTGTTCGCGTTCCAAACTTCAAAGTGTGGTAGGTACCAGCTAAGCTTTCCTCCTGTCAGGACCTCATCCGCCGTCAGTTTCCTTGCATATCCTTTAGCCTCGTATTCCTTCATTACGTGAACGTATGCTGACTTAAATTTATCTTCGCGCTTGAATTTCTTTTCTAGAGCTAACAACCTGTTTTCCGCCATTTTTCGACTATCTAGTAGTTCCACATTCTCCTGCCTCCAAATCAGGCCAGTCTCAAAGTGGGAACCCTTTCTCACGGTCGTGCTTTCTAACAACTCTTTAGCTCTGACTGTATCTGCATCCACACAGTCCTGCACCCCTTCGCGTACACTAAGATATTCGTTAATTAAATAGTCACTCACCAAACGCTCGAGCCTCTCCAGACCGTTATCCACATTTGCAAAGTGCACATAGTTGCACCGTTCTCCAACGCCTCGATTCCTGCCACCGTAGGCAATCCAGCCGAGCTTCGTAAGTGTCACCGAGTAACCATCCACTCCATCGGCAACAGTCTTCCTTGAGATGCTTAAGTGTGCGTTGTCTAACCTAGCGATGGGCATAATGTGCACATACGGGCAATATGCCCAAACGTGCAAACCGCGGGCAAATGTGCAAACTGTTGGGTAGATGAGGTGAGGTAATTATGAGGGGCATAGGGGAAACAGAAAATTTTGCGCGAATTGCATCTGTATGTGTGATCGGAATGAGAGAACAAGTATATGTGAGTACTCACGAATGTGTATAAAAAGATTTTCGTATCCAGAATAAAATTCACTAAATAAGCACTGAACATGGCAGGAAAGGTATTCTAATAGTATTATATAGTTGTCGAATATTTTTAGGTATCTTCGGCTCAGCTAACATGAAAGAAGCAGCATGTATGCATATCTATATATTTTTGATGATTTGAAGATTTTAATTTTTAACGATGCAAAGTGAAGTGTATGTATATACATTTTGATTAAATCAAAGGTGTGTATTTAATTTGACAGCACTTGTGCAAATGCTTTATTTTTTTTTTTTTTTTTTAATGGCAGGTATGGACATAAATAAGTTAAATGTAAGTGCACAAAATCCCAACACTAGTTATAAAACCATATAACGAAGTTCCAATTTTGTTTTTGTTAAAAAACTGATGGTTTTTTATAAACATATGATCTCTAATTTTATCAAATAAAGTTTAACTGCTAAATTATAAAATAAACATTTTTTTTTATAGGAGTTTACAGAATTTAAATGATTTAGCAGGATTCTAGCGATTTTTGTTTATTAATCTGGCGGGACGACAGAAACAAAAATGGCAACACTGGTTGTGAGTACCGACTTGCTTGCGCGCATATTAGCTGTTTTGTAATTCACTTTTGCACTGTCAGCGTTCAGTTGGTCGCAAATTTTCAAAGGGAGGGGTTGTTCTTGCGCAGAAAATTTTTCGTTAGAAATTTGGTTGGAAAAAAAGGACAATCATGTACAAAACAACCTTTTTATATGACGGTTATCTACCGACTGATCCTAGTAGCAGCGCTAGGCTCTCTTATTTACGAACACATGCGCAAGCAAGATCGTTAACGCGTTATTGTTCGCCAGTATGAATTAGCACATACTATTTTTTACATATGTATAATCAATTTAAACTTTATTGATTTATTAATAAAAAAAATTTAGTTGGTCGGTATATCATGATGTTGAATTATTTTTAATAAATATACTACAAATATAGTTAGAAATTGTTCCTCTATAAAAATGAGGTGAAAATAATAGCCTTTGGCAATATACATTGCATAAAATGGGTTAGTAAACGTACACGGCTATTGCTTACCCTTTCGGTTTTAAATTTTTACCCCGCATCAAGCACCTGCTTGCCCGCGCTGCTGCGCGCGAGCCGTTCTGCCGCCCATTCCTAGTCTAACCCAACCAACAGTTCCGGGACCGCTCTATCATATCTCTTGATCGGCAAGTGACGATATTTGTACGGCACCTCTGATAGCTGGAGTGTCTGTGTCGGCAGTTGAAGGTTGTTCACCGTTCTGATATTCCGCAACAAAAACTTTTTATTAAACCTACCAACCCCGGATATTTGAACGTCGACCCTGCTTGACTGCTCTGTTACCGTGGTACCGCCGAACCATTGCAACGTCAAATTTTCCTTCTGCCCTTTGAGACCCAGGCGTCCAAACAAGTTACTATTCATCATTGATATTGCCGAACCATCACCGAAGAGGGCGAAACTGTTTATGACTCGCCCGTTGGCGTACAACCGCACTGGCAATATTTTGTACAGCAATCTCGAACTCGGATTTGGAATAATAGCACTGGTGAAGACTTGTTGCCGTGCCGCAGCTTCCATTGGAAGCCGTCCATCTGTTGTTCCTTGCTGGCGAGCGTGAAGTAGCTCGTGCTGCTTCCGCATTTACCGGTCCATATTGCATCTGTGTTGTTCAGTGCAATCGTTGCTCCTGTGACCACTTCGCAAACAATTGAAACACAATCTCTTTTGTCGGACTACACGCCACCGCTGACCCCACTGCATGTCAAGGAACCTCTTACATCGGCTTATTACGTATCTGCCTTCACATACAACACATATGCTTGCATCACGATTACCACTGTTAATGTCCTGGGTGTGAAAGAAACGCCCGCGACCCTCGACTCTTCCGCTCTGCCTGAGATCCAAGTTCGTATTGACGCAAGCACTCGCCACCAACCCCGAAAGCTCTTGCAACCAGTCGCTGAAGTGACATATGTTCGGCCTCGGTACAATGGTCAAGGCATGACTAGCCCAGTCGATCCTCTTCTGTACTGGTAACTTCGACAGCAGTTCGTCCATGAGTGTCGGGTTCGATAAGTGGTGATCGCAGTTGGCAGATTGTAAGAACGAGGATAAATTCTGTACCTTGGTAGCGAACGGCACAATTTGTTCAATGCGATTTTCCACTATAGGAGCTACACCCTGTATCTTTGCGATTTGGCTTTTTACCAGTTGCTCTGGCCTACCAAAGCGGTCTTCAAGGGTACTAATGACGCGCGGCACGTTGCTGCTATGAATAAGTAGGCATTCGACCACCTCTATTGCCTTACCTTTAATGGCCTTCTGCAAGCGCATCATATTTCGTCGCTCACTGTAGCGATACTCCTCTGTGGTCATAGCAAACGAATCCTTAAACATGGGCCAGTCTTCAGGACGCCCATCAAATTCCGGCAGATCGTACAACTTACGCCCTTGAGTTACTCTGGTATCTGCTAAGGTCCGATTCCAATCGCTCAATACCCCTGCCAACGACCCGTTCACGCTTTCGACACCAACGTTGCTAGGTGCTATAGAGGTTGCTGCTAACATCTCGTGTTGTTGTTGTTGACTCTGCCTTAACTCCACTTGTAGCTCCTGCATCTGCTGCAGCATCATGTTGAGTTTTGCCTCCATTGTCGTTTGCTGAGTTTCGCCCGCTTCCATTGGTTGTTGCTGGATTGTCGTATTTAAGTCGTCCAACCATTCGACGTCGCCGCCTGATGCACTTCCCTTGCTTCCAGAACGCGTGTTTGGCATGACTACGCTTGTTACCGATGAATCTTTCTCGAACGAGAAGAAAACAAAATCTTCTGGCTGGAACCTTCTAAATCTTCAAGTTGTGACTCGCTGACGCTATCGCCGATGAGGTTTAATTAAAAAAATCGAATTCGTAAAGAAAAAATAAATGTAGGAGTTGAGGGGCAAAACCGATTAAAACCGCAGACTAAAGACCATTAAGCAGACGAATGTTTTTTATTTTCCTCAATTTGTAAAGTCAAAAGGTACAAGGGGATTGAGACGTGGATCGATGTCAACGCAGACCAAACACGATTAAACAGGTTTTATTATTAGCAAGCACAAAAAAAATTACATACGTATGCGCTGCGAATAATCCAATAACAAGGCAGACCAACACGAGCGATTGGTTTTTTCTTAAAGACAGCAAAGAAAATATATTAACTGAGGCGCAGATCGATGTTTGCATATGCACACCAATAACCAATTAAAACTCTAGTTTATTTTTTATAAATCGTAAAAAAAATGTTGTGATTGTAGACTGAAGAAATATTTAAATCCGCACACCAGTAATCCTTTTGCAACGACTGGTTTTATTTCTTCTGCTCGCAGGAAGACAAAATGTAGAAGTTGAGTTGCGGAGCGATATTCTGACTGCGCACACTAATGGTAGTTAAAAACGTATTAATATTTTCGTCTACACGCCAGTAATGGTTAGGCAAACTCGTTTATTTGCAAACTCGCAAAATATTTTGTATATTGCTAGGTAAAAACAATGATTAAATTCGCCTATGAAAATCGTGCCTCAAAGAAATGAATTTATGTTATTGGTTTTGTTCAATATCCGCATTTTTGTAGTCGCATGCATATATGCCTTTATTATAGAGGCGCAATTTTTTAGACACACCCTAACCTTCGTACATATATATACACGCTATCTTGCGCGTTAAAGGTTACTGTTTTATGGTGTTGTTATGCCTGACTGTTCCCGTTATGTACATGCACGTTAAAGCACACTGGCGAACCAACCCCCATACATTTTCAAACGCTTACATATGTACTTGCCGGATTCTCGGTGTATTTTTCCTTGCAGGTGCTCCACCGATGCTTACAAAACGCTGCTGATAAAAATGATGGTATCGCTTAAACTGTGTGCTGCCGGGGCTCCTGTGCCGGCGCTGGAACTTGCAGTGTACTAGAACTGTCAGTGTACTGGAACTTGCAACATGCTACAATACTGTTGGTGAAGCTCGCTAAATGACGAGTAGCTCACTTTTTTCCTTCGATGTACGCCGACTGCTTAATTGCTTTTGAGTTCCCTCGATGCGACCGCTACTGCCAAACCGTTATGCGAAAAACTTTTCATAAAAAGTGAAATAAAAGATGTTTTTGGCGATTCGTGGCCGGACACCAAATAAGAACATCCACAATCTTCGTTGGCATGTAATAATGTGTGGACGGTTTTATTTCCTTTAGAAAAATTGAAATTAGTTACATTAATATAATTTACAAAATTCTACTTACACTTTTGTGTGATTCCTCCGATATGCCGGCCACGAATGCCGCTATTTTCTTTGCACATAATGGCTGTCATATCGTTTACACAGTTTGGCATGGCGTTGCCACTAATACAAAATTTTACATACAATTTACGATACAATTAGGATTGCCATCTTACAAAAATACAATTATGTTTTATTAAATCCTAAGCCGCGCCAACAGAAGCATATCGCTGCCTATACCCAGGTCGATTTGGGAAGGAGAATGACAGTTAGGATCTGCTAAATCAAGAGGCGACCATTCTTTCTTTTGCTCAGAATTTATAAGGAATTTTGGAAGCAACTTGGTTAATTGGGGCAGTACTTTCGCTTACGCTGGGATTTCGCGCTTTAGATCAGAGCTGATTAAGACCAAGGAGCACAACTTGTTTGATGTCTGGACAATTTTTCCACCCGTGCCAGAGATCTCGAAACTCGAAGCTTGGCAAGGTAGCCTTAGTCTAGACTGGGCTTTCGATGAGATAAAAGTGCGTTGGGAGCCCTGATCAATGAGTGCTCTCAGTTTACGTTTTACATGGACTATCGCAGTTGGGAGGAGTACTTGGTTTTCATTTTCTGTATAAAGGGATTGTACTTGATTGGAACATTGGGGGAGCTCGTCTTGGGTTTCCGAACGGTCCGGCGTTTGCAGGTTAGCAGAAGCTGTTGCAACCTGAGAACTGGTTCTCCGCGGTTGTGGTTGACGCTAGTTAGGCGTGGAGGTTACGTCCTTGTGGAGAGTTGTGTGATGCCTTCTTTGACATTTATAACACGTCCGGTCAGATGGACAGTCTTGGAGGGTATGCGTGGAGGAGAGGCAGTTAGTGCACAAGTTATGTTCCATCACAAGTTTTTCGCGGTCGTTTATGGAGAGTCTTTTGTATTTGAGAAACTGACTGAGGGAATGGGTTTGTCGTTTGCAGATAACACAAGCGAACTTTTTTCTTTGTTCTGTCATCTGTGACTGGACCTGAGAAAAGGATATATTTTGTGACCCTAGGGTTTGTAGTGGTTTTGAAAACGACCTATTATGGGATGGGGGTAGCCTTTTGTTGCTATTATTTGCGAAATTAGGCTTGTCTTTGGGTGGTCGCCATTGGTCTACCCTTTCAACTGCCTCACATCTTGTGGTGAGGAACTGGTTCATTTGTGACCAGTTAGGGAGGTTTTTCCTCGAGTTTAGGGAGTTTCGAGGTAATTAAGTAGATTAAAATGGGATCCCAGCTTTCAGTGGATACATTCTGGGTTGCCAGGATTTGGAGGCAGTTTTTAACAGTGAAATAAGCCTTTGAATGTCTTCAGTCTTCTCCACTTTAATTGGCTTTAAGTTCATTAGAACTCGAATCTGGTTGGCCACAAGTACACGCTTGTTCTCATATCGTGACCGGAGGGCTTCCCATGCCAGCTCGAAATTGCCATCACTTAGGGCGAATTGTTTCACGATCTGGCCAGCTTTACCTTGTGTTTTGTACCTAAGGTGGTACAATTTTTGCGCTTTTCTGAGTTTAGGGTGGTTTATGTAGACCACCGTGAATATATCACGGAAGGACGGCCATTGTTCATAACCCCCGTAAAAGACCTCAGTATCACAAGGAGGAGCTTTTAAGATAAAGCCAGATTCGTCTTTGGGTTGTGACGTAGGGTGCGTAGGCACGTGAATGCTCCTTTGTTTGAGGAGGTGGAGCTGGTCACCGATTTGCGCTTTGGTGTCCTCATAGGTGATGAGGCATGGCCGGTATTTGCTAAAATCTTCAGGGAGGTCATGCTCATCTGTCTCTACTACCATATCATATGAATTTTGCACTCGTCTCCAGAAATTATCTAAGTTAGAATTCTTAATATTTAGGGCAGACTCAGAATTATCTTCTAGTGGAGTGGATCTAAATCGTGTGCGCTAATCCATAAAATTATCAGTCTCTGCTATAAACTTAGTGAATGAGACCGAAGTTTTGGGTTTTCTGGCGGACTTTCCACTTGAACGCGTTGGGCGTTGTGATTCGGTGGAAGCGCATTGACCTTTTTCGTCATCACTCATTTTGGGGTTTTTTATTTGTCTTCGGTGTGGGTTGCTAGTAACATCAAACGTATGAGAATTTACGGTTATGTGAAGGTTATTACTTCGAATATGTGCCGATCTGAATTTAAGTTCACGTTTGGAATGCAGAGATCAGAGGGCTTGGAGTAAAAAAGATTTTACTGAGGTATGTAGAAGACACAATAGTCCGCGATAAATTTCAGTAGCTCCGTTAATGAAATGTAAAAGTGGACATTGGAGGTATATGGTTGAACTGAGACCGACTAGTTTTTATTAAGAAAAGTTGGAGAAACCACTTTGTTTAAATGTTTACTCGCGAAACTGTTTTCTACTCACACTGTAA